GATGGAGTAGGGCTGTCTAGTGCCTGGCGTCCAGTCTTACTCCGGCTAGCTTGATAAGCATGGGCGGATAGATCCCAAATCGGAATGGACTACTAACGCTCCCACCACCAAATTCCTAAGTACTAAAGACAAGTTATATCAGTGACCAAGTTCTTTGCAACGGACCACTTAAGATTGCTGATTACCCATGTAACTATCCTCTGACATGCAATTTATGTTCCTCATCTGACCCTGACTGAAACAAACCACAGTGTACACACGAGCCTAGTGGCGTTTGACCGCTGTAATCTTTCGTCAATGAACTGCCAATTAATTAGTCCGAATGTGGCTTACCCATGATCGTTATAAAATTCCAATGTTAAGCTAGTAAACTTCGCTTGAAGAAGCTTTCGTGTCGAAAGCGAAACGTTGTATGTCATCATAAATATATTAACCGGTCGTCTACCAAGCATTCTGAACTGATGACTTCCCGACCGGTTCCAAATATGTTCCAAGATATCGACCACAGGCAATAATTCCCTCTCTAGGACACCAATTATAATAGGGTGTTTCATGTTGCTCTGGCAAACTAATAAGTTTATCAAAGTAGTACAGGGACATGAAGATGTTCAGATACGTCACCACTGGTAGAATCAATTACACGTACACAGACAAGACGAAACTACAGTTTGGTACACCACCGGACGCGTGGGCTGTGCTGTTGAGTTTGGTTATGTTGAACTTATTTCAGCTGATCACACGGCCCCTTTGTTCTTTCGTATTCAACCAGAGAACCTTCGCAACTTTTCTGTAGACGCATGCTACCGGTTCGGTAACTATGAGAACTGTTGCCACTTTGTCACCTGACGCATGCTACTCTCAGCGGTGTACCCTGTAATGGGAGTACTATTACATACGACTTGTTTATTCTCTTCTTGTGAGTAAAAGCAACTCGACTTCACGCAGTTTTAGAAATTTGCCTTGATCATTTACTAGTTGCACTTTGGTTGTATTATTCCCGGACGATTTACTGTCAGTTGATCTGTACTCTTCACGTGTATACAGGTCGTTATTCCAAGGTTCAAGCGTTAGCTACTTATGAGATCATGATTTGCACTATGCAGCAAAAGGGCCATTGGGATCTCACTGCTATATTTTAGCCAGCGCAGAATTGCAGATTACTTGTCCCGGGTACTTAAAGATGGGAACGTGCACTGCAACAGTTATTAGTTCACTCGACTGGAGGTGATCAACAGCAACGGCACTAACTATATCTTGCAGGCCATCAATGATGTGTACGGTCTCCTTTATATGCACCAAGGGGGCTGCGAACAAAAGGTGATAGCCACGCGCCTGAGTTCATTATCTCTGAATTACCAGCGGAGGACTAATCGGTACTGAAGCTGATTGGGCATGCTACCTGTGTGATAGCGCTGGTTCGAAGAGTGACGATTTGTTTCTGTCCAGGCGATTCTGTGCTTTGAGTGGCCCGAAACGTCAAAGCTTTGTATCATTTGCATTAGGAAGAGACTGGGAATGCTAGAGATTCCCAATTAATGATATCTGTGTCGTTTAATAGCCTAAATGAGATTTATAAGACTTGCCATATCACTGCCATATCCTTTGAAGATCAGTCAAAGCTGCGACTTGGAAGGTCATCGTTTTAAACTGACAGTAATACAACTACCCTGAAGACTCTGTATGTTTGCTACACTTGCCATGCCCTCATAGGATTGGTTATTGCTGCCCCTAAAATGAAAGTGTTTAAAAAGCTTGTCGGTAGTCAGCTTGCTTCCTTACACCACTTCATACAGCCCACAAAAAAACTTGGAAGTCAGCAAGGAATGCTTACACTTGCTTTGCTAGAAAAGTCACAGAAGACAGCTGAGCTACTGGCATCAAAAGTTACGTGAACACTTCTATAGGACAATACTTTGATTGAACTCAGTGAGATGTCAGTCATTCGAAATGATCGTCCATCTCGCGGTGGCGGTGTTGCTCTCTACTATCGAGATTATTTGAAATGTGAGGTTCGTACCGAAAATTCCCTTGTTATTCCCGACGCACTATTTTGTCGACTGCACCTAGCAGGTCGAGATGTTGGTTCACAGAAGAAGAGTGATGCTTGCCTCTTAGCAGTTATTTATAGACCTCCGAACTCATCAACAGACAGCGATAACATTCTGTTAGACGCCCTCCGCTATGCTGTTTCACAAAAGTACTCTCACTATCCTATAATGGGTGACTTTAATGTTCCTTCAATAGCATCAATGTCCCCTAATGGGCCATCATTTAAATCGAAACTCCTCGAATTCATGGGTATGGCAGTTTTGTATAACCATGTGCATCGACCAACCAGACATCGAGGTTCAAACCAGCCATCACTCCTGGACTTAATCCTGACTAATGAAGAGCTGATGGTTGAGTCAGTAGCATACGATCCTCCACTGGGCCGTAGCGACCATTCAGTCCTAACATTCGGTTATGTATGTTACGCCAGTATTGTTGCTAAAGAAAGAGAGACTCAACGAACTATTACGGACTATTATAAACTGCGCAGCTTGGCAGCAACCGTTGACTGGGACGTACAGACGCACAGCTCAGCGAATGACGCGTGGAATGAATTGAAAGACAAAATTAACTGGGTCATACAATCAGCATCGAAAGTTGTACCATTACGAGCATCGCGCCGGACCAATACGTGGATACGGAGCAGAACACGTAAATGGATCAACAGAAGAGATGAAATCTGGAGGCAACATTTGCTAAGCCCATGTGATATCACATGGCAGGATTGCAAAGTCATCAGAAACTACTGCACGTCACTCATTAGAGTCGATAAGTACGAATGGCAGGAGAATATGGTGCTGAAATTTACGAGTAACACCAAACTGCTGTACAGATTTGTGAATGGCAAAAGAAAGGTTAAGCCCGGAATGCCACCACTCAGGACGGCCAGTGGCTTAACAACTACTGCTGTGGATGCCGCGAACACTCTACGCTTGCAGTTTGGCTCTGTAGCTACAAATGTCATGGAATCTTCGCCCTATCAACTCCCAACCAATGTCGTTGGCTTATCCAGCGTCACTTTTAATCCAGCAGCTGTTGCAAGCAAACTACAGTCTCTCCGGGAGTACAGTGCCCCCGGAATCGACATGATCTGCCCAAAAGTACTAAAAACGCTTGCTCCCACCATAGCAACACCACTTGCCACCTTTTTCCAGGGTCTGCTTAACTCCCATACACTCCCATCTGAGTGGAAAAATGGAATTATCACTCCAATATATAAAGGTGGTAAGCGCTCGGATCCTGCTAACTACCGACCTATTACTCTCCTTCCCGTTTTATCAAAAGTTATGGAATCGGTAATCGCAGATGGACTGAAGCGATATTTTGAAAGTCAACAGATAATTTCTAATGCACAACATGGTTTCCGACACAGACGATCTTGTCTCACTAATTTACTGATTACTCGGGACTTATGGACCAGGGCGGCTGATGAAGGAGTGACCATAGATGTGATATACCTGGATTTTTCTAAAGCATTCGACAGGGTCAATCACTTCTTTCTCATCCAAAAGCTTGCTGCCTACGGTATCAACGGTTCCCTGCTCACCTGGTTGGAAGACTACTTACACGACAGAGATATCAAGGTAAGAGTAGCCGACACCTATTCTGAAAGCCTTTACGTCTCCAGTGGTGTACCACAAGGATCCGTCCTCGGTCCGCTACTGTTTTTAGTCTACATTAATGACCTTCCAGCAAACATTCTATCTCCAATGCAAATATTTGCAGACGATGCTAAAATATGGAGAGCAATTCGCTCAGCATCCGACCGTGTCTACCTCCAGGAAGATCTGACCCGGATTAACGAATGGGCAGAAAAGAACCAGCTTCCACTGAACCCTGCAAAGTGCCACCTGCTGGCGGTGCACAACAGCCTCGTCAACACATCCCTTTTGGGGCAACACGTCATGCAACACGTGACTAGTGAACGTGACTTAGGTATAATCGTGCAAGAGAGTCTAGGGAATGCGCTCCAATGTTCAAAAGCAGCAAGCGTGGCGAACTTGAACTTGAGACTTTTGAGGCGAGCTGTCGGCACTTTTGAGCGACAGCTAGTACCATTGTTGATTAACTCCTACATTCGTCCTCATGTTGAATATGCAATTCAGGCCTGATGTCCATGGTTAAAACGAGACATCCGCCTCTTGGAACAGCCCCAAAGAAGAGCCACAAATGCAACGCGTGGACTATCCGGTATAAGTTACGAAATGCGTCTTTGTGTACTCGGTGTGTTCTCATTAGAATACCGACGGCTTCGTGGAGATCTTACTCTCACATACCGGATATTAACCGAAATCGAGCATCCATGTACATCACTATTGACTAAAGCCCCATACAAACAAAACCGAGGCAACCACCTGAAACTAATGACGCAACACTCTCGTTTGAATTGTAGAAAGTATTTTTTCTCACTTAGAATCTGTTCTCACTGAAATGCATTACCAAACTATGGGGTGAACGCACCAGACATGACGACATTTGAAAGACTCTTAGATTTTCATCTTAGTGATAAACGATACACAACACTTTGCTAAAGTGCAATGACTTAACCACTGATACTTCGTGTTCCACGTGGGAACATTTTGATGTTAATTTTCTTTGGCATGTCCATCCTGTGGATCTTGTAAAGCTATGCTTTTTATCCCATCATACACCATTGAACCATTGAACATGCGAAAGCTTATCTTGTACTCAAGTCTAAAACCTAGTTTGAGGACGATGACTTTCAAAATTGACAAAACAGTCTTCTTTTGTGGTAATGGTCCTAGAAAACATGAACGAAGCGGACTCAAATATGGTTCAAACTAGCGTGTTGCTGACCCTCCACAGTAGTACAACTGATGCATAACTCGCTGCAACGTAAACTTCAAGCCATCAGACTCATAAATTCCACGATGCAACGCCGACTACGAGCCATTCCCAGGGTAGGAAATCGTACAAAATAACCCCTGCATTAATGAAAGGTACATAGGATTCTTGCATAAATAAATGAAAGATAGAGCCGCCACCTGTAGCGGCTACTCGAAAGTGGAATCTGAACAAGTGACACTAATCAACAACGTCTCACGTTTAACAGATGGTGGACACTCAGTCGGTTAAGCGGGAGCCACAGTGGGCTGCAATTCTCCATGGTTTGTGAACGTACACTACCGGGAATGATTTTTGAATGACCGACGTCGGAGTCTCTACTGGCACACTGCGCCAGATGCTTGCTCAGTAAGCCCATTCGCGAAAACGATCGAGGACAATGCGGACATCCGTACCGCTTCTCTCGTTGGTGTGTTTGCATGTGGGCACGGAGGTTCGATCGGTCGGCGAACGAGCGGCTACACACGGAACACGCGTATGGGCGCTCACCCGTGTGCGTTCGTTCGTGGCCCTTTAGGAGCCACTTGCGCGAAAAAGATTTGCCGCATTGTATACATCTGCAAGGCAATGTGTGCGTCCGTACATGCATCTTTAATGCCGACGCTTGGGAGTACACTTTGCTACATAATTTACACGAATAAATTCGGCCTACTGCGGGCTCCGGTTTGACATCACTTGATTGCGGTGTTGATATGGAGGTGTACGTATCGGAATCGGCAGCCTTTGAGACATCAAACGACTGGATCATTTCCGTCAGTTCGCCACTGAACTTTCCTTTCACTTTACCATGATGCGTGGATCTGGTTGGAGACTCACGGGTGGCTGGTTTGATAGATGTCGTGCTGTGAAGCCAAGCAACGTCCGGAGGACTTACGTTATGCTTCCCTGGTGACTCTTGATGCATTCCGAGGGAAGTGGTGTCATTGGACAACATATGCAGCCATGCTTGGTACTGAGCACGGTACTGTGTCTGCATGAAATACATGTAGAATCTATGTAAACTCTGCCAGTGTGTGGGATCAGAAGACGCAGGGCTCAATTCATTAGCCACCATCCTCTTGGAGTGGCAGTTTCGACCATTGGGAGACTGTTGAGATAACTGAGCGAACGTCTGTGCAGATGGGTGCGCAGATTGATTTGTTGGCAAAACTGTCTCAAGGCGACAGGTAGATGAGCTTGGAAGTGCTTCCCCATTTGCCAGCGAATTCGAGATGGGTGGAAAGTCTTGGGGATTTGAACAAGGTTTGTGAAGTTGAAAACGTCGGTCGTCTCCGATTGGCTGCCGTCGCCGAACTTCAGTGGGTGTTTGGCATGCAGTGTTGTTCCCGGGAGGTGGTTCCGTTGGACTGGAATTTGTCGAGGGACTGGGAAGCGTGCCAAAGGTGCCCGGGTCCGATTGATTTAGTTCCGATGGGGCTTCCAGTTTGTCCGAGGTTCGATTGAGCGACAAGTCGTGGATTGTTGGCGAAATCTGAGGGGGTTGGTTTCTCACGTTTGTTGGTCTCGAGTACCTGTCACTGCACTGAGGTCTATCGTCTGGTGTGGCGCCTCCGTGAAGCATCTCGTACAGTTGTTGGGGAGAAGGGATCGCCCAAGCAGCGCTGGAGACAAACTGAGTGCGTACCAACATTTGTTGCACTAATTGGTGGGTGATGAGATGTGTGAAGTCTGGATGCTTATTGGCAAGTGCATGTGTATATAGAGGGGAAGAAACAACTCCATTTGTTTCTGCCAGTCTGGAGGATGGGTCGAGAAGGGGCAAAGGATGATCCTGATTCGGCCCGGAGTGAATGGGTAGCCAGCTGTACATCGGAACCGGATGGCGCAGTATCGGGCCTTTTGCGGTACTCTGAAATAAAAGCAAATTTGGCAACTTAGTACACCTTAGAATGGGTACAGTTAGACTAAGCGCAAAACTTAAGAAGACAAAAACAGAGTTTTACATCACACAGTGTTAATCGGAAATGTGTACGTGAGTAAACTGCCAGCCAATGGCAATTTAAGTTTATGATAACGTGCGTAAGGAAGTACAAGAATCGTTATTTCAGGTTATGTTTCACCCCGACTGAAGTCAGTTGTTGGTATTCAGTGGTCGATTCGTTGTAAACAGACTGGCAGACGTGTACACCATATACGAGTTACTCCCCGAGTCGTTTGTCTAGGCCACAAACTGCTCGGAAACAGGTCAGGCAGCATCGTCATTGAAGTGGTACTTGACAGCGTGCTTTTCTTGTTTTTGATCTTAGTTCAAACGAACTGCCCCTTAGATGATTAGGACAAGAACTGGGAAGCTTTTGGATGAAGTCTGTACCTGCGACCCGACTACCTAAAGCCACTGCACATTGGGGCTCACTCGGAATGCTGAAACAAATGGTGAGTTAGTTGGACAAATAAGTATTCACTAGCGCAGTTCCACGTGAGAACACACCTTCTTCATGGAGCACCACCTTTACGGAGCAATGCTGTCGCCTTTTCTCTTTTCTATTTACGTCAGCTCTATGCCAGCTCCAACTGAAGCGGCTCTGATAAAATATGCGGACGATATCGTCCTGGGCATCAATCACCAAATCGCTGATTGTTCTTTCAGACTACAAGCGCTTCCTAATGATCTTAATGGCTGGTCCAAATCCCGTGATCTGTCTCTTAATGCTTCAAAATGATATGAGATTCTTCTTTCCTTACACAAAGGAGCCAGGTATGAGGAGCTCCTTACACAGTGCAACAAGTTACATATTGATGGCGACGGATTACAGTCCTCCACATCAGTAAACTATCTGGGGGTGACGTTGAGTTACGATTTAGCTTGGACGCTTCAAGCAAGTGAAAATTTCACAAAAGTCAGTAGGCTGTCATTCTATGCCTCACGGCTCAGAGCCTCCTGCGTTAGTCGTGAGTTAATCGTTCGCTTTGTCAATGCCTGTGTCCTTCCCCATTGGAAGTACTGTTCCCCCGTGATATTTCCCGGTCTTTTGTGTAAGCATTTTAAGTTAATTGTCAGATCATTAAAGTACTTAGCCCGATGTAGCTGTGTTCCGATATCTACTATTACCAACACTCTTATTTGTACACACATAAGTTCTTGTAAAAACCTGGGCTCTAAGATACTGACTGATACAAGTCATCCCCTACATACCGCCTTTTCTGAATATTTATCAACTTCGTCTACTAAGCAAAAGTACAAGCACACAAGCTTAGCGCTCGTCAGTCATCTCTTACCTCTCGCGTCTTTGCGAGACCCCAACTCTGTCATCCTTAACCAGTAGACGTTCACGTTGATTGTGTTGTTTATCCTTTTCTACCCGTTCTTTGTCGTATTGCTTTGCCAATGACTTGCTTTTTTGGTACCTTGTCGTGATCGTGTGTGTTGTAGTTGAATATTCACCCACGCAGGGTGCATAAAGCAATTGCATGACTTGACTTGACTTGACCTTCTTCTGTTGTATGGTTTCATGTGGTGATCAATAAACAGGCAACTTTAGTGCAGATTCCCGTGCACATTAGGTGGGTGCGTCAAAGCCAGTGACTAATGCTTCCATCAAACAGGCTCCCGCGTATAAATGGAGTATGTCAAAACTGATAACCATATTTATTGGAACAACCGATCCGGTAACAGTGAACCGTTCCCCTCTCCCGTAAGGTGTAGGAACGGTCAGTGTAAGCTTGCGTGCGCAGTTGCCTGGACCAGTCTAAGTCAGACTGTGTCAACAAATAAAGTGGTTTGCTGATTAGTACCGAAATTGCGCTTTGTATTCTTCACTCCGCTGGTAATTCCTGGGCGAGTGAAGCCGCTGATCGGTGATTTTCCTAGAATTCGACGACTAATCGGACATCATCTGTGTTAATTCATTCAACCCCCCTGACGTTCAGCATGCATTTAGGGACGAGTGCAGAGAAGGCCGAAGAACCGAATGTGCGAACTCGACAAATCTAGGGTCCTGATGGCATTTGTGACGGTCGAGCCCTCATTTATCACTGGCCGTAAACGCTAAAGTACTCGACAACAGCTCCATGTCCAAGGGATCTATCGTCAGTGCTGATCGAGCGAGAAGGCTGTTGTGGCTGCGAAAAACCTAAAACCGACTAATCAGCCACTTAAAATGCATATGTTAGCACAAAAATCTCTACTTGCGTGTGGTCAACCATCACATAAGTTAGTTTTATGGTCTTTATTTTGTTAATGGGTAAGGAATGACATTTATAATTCAAACCGGAACCTCCAGTTGGGTAAAATCAAGCTAAGGAGACTACGTGTAGGGCTGTAACAGTGATATAGCTTGTAGCAAACCGGAATAAGTTGTTGAACTTAAAACAGGTTTTTCTCACATACTACACAAGATATAAATTTACTTGGTCGCATAACCCATTTCACCAAACCGTGTAGTGGGTGTCTTTATCTGCACGGGACGATCTTTGAGACATTTTCAGTCAAGCATCTCATCAGGCCACATATCCGCATGGTTAGTGTGCGAAGAAATTTTTATAAAAGGCTCCATTTCCTCGAACTATGGTCTTGTAACAAACTAGGTGCTTCTTTTTATTGCGTAAACACAACAATATCCAAAAAGTGGTGGATAACCTAGATCCCTCCGGACTGATACCTGATTCTTCAAAATGATTAATTAAAAGTCATAATAACCGGTCTCCGTCAGACGGTTGTCATATGTAAGGAACAACTGCAATTAAAAACTGCTTTGTCCTTCCATGACTCGCTGGTATTGCGTGTGCCCGCGGCCATTCCCGCCACCAAACGAAGCCAGGTGAGATTCTGATACAGTGCGGTACACGCTCCGCTGTTCTGTTTTACTACCGAGCCTCTAGAATTAATGCCGCCAATACTTTTCAGTTCTGACAATTACGGCGAAGTTTGAATACGCTAAAAAGAACTTTATGCAGCTTGCGCTTACTTGTAGCATTGTGTTTTGTCGTTGAGGAGGTCTCGAGGGCTCCAGTGACAGCCCTCGGACAGTCCACCACCAGCCTAATCGGCTTGTGGGCTATGAGATTAACAGCGATTAGGCTCTGTCTTCACCGAACAGACAGTATTTACTATCACCTAGCTGGTCCAACTTTTGTGTCCGTAAGAGCGTCGGGTTTAAAAACGGGTGGGTGGCATGATATGCGACACACTCAACCATCTACGTGACACACCAATCGCGTTTATGATTTCATATACCGTTGCGGGTGCAAACGCATCCCCTGACTAAAAAGAAGCTGCTCCAACATTTATTCATAATTTCTTATTTATACACCTTATTACGAGATGCGGTTTGATTAGTTCCACTTAATATTTGCCACAGCTACACTCAGCCAGACAGCGCCGTACATAAGGAATGCCATTTAATGGCCATTTTCCATGTTAGAGACACGTCAGCACTACACATTCCATCTGCTACATGTGATGGAGTAACTGGCTATAACACAGGGGACTCACCATCTACTGTCATGCTTGTCTCAAGCGTGGCTTCCAGACGCATGATTTTCTAGCTGAGCAGCCATCGGCCGATAACTTCGAGTCAGTGGTATTGACCACCAACTAGAAGTGTAGGACTACGGGTCCTAGCCCGCTACCGGTTGTATGAAAGGCGCACTGATGATGAGCCCCGAGAGGACAAAACGGTCACCTAGCACTCTTCCCGTGCAAGCACGGTGGAGCTGCTTGACTGGACCTGACTGTACCGAGTCCCATTTGAAATTAATTCAACTCCTCAATGCACCTTATTTGTTTGTTGACGGCAAGCACATCAGGCCCATCAACTAGACAGATCTACTTGAAAACTTTGGAAGAATCTAACTGGGTTCAGTGGGGATGCCGCCAGTGGTTCGTATGAGTTATTGAATTTCAAGCTTAGGCCAAGTACTCACAATGTGCAATGCATGCTCAAGCAACCGAATATAACACCGGATTGGTAAACTTCGGCTCCTAGACAATGGACAATGGACAATGGTTTATTACGGATAAAAAAGCATCGCTTAACAAGTCCCGTGGGATGGAAATTATTGCGAAAATAAATTGCATAATAAAGTGAAAAGCGTTGTGGTTGACTCACCATAGACTTATGTGAAATAGCGGAGATGTTCGCGTATTAAACATAAAAATCCATAAATCCAATGGTTGAGCGCTTGGCAAGAAACCGTTTGTTTGCGTTTTGTAGCCCCTGGCTAACAAGTCATAACAGGAAATGTAAGTGAGACAACGCATCGTCAACACGTTGTTTAAATATCGCCAGATTGGGAGCAGAGACGACATAATTAGGGAGGGCATTCCAAGGCTCACACACGCGGAGAGAAAAGAAATTTCTACGGCATTCAAGCCGGCTGTAATGAATTGTCAGTTTCAGAGGGTGACCTCTTAGTTTAGTGTTGGGGTTCAGTTCCAGCAGCGGACGGCAAATGTGGTTTGGGTTCTTCAGAATCTGGTAAACCATTATGAGATCCCCCCGCAAAAGCCGATATCGACTGCTGTAGATTCTTAGAGATTTCAGTCTAAGCTGATAGGGCAGATGGAAGAGGCCCCTGACGTTCTTGGTTGCCCGTCGTTGAGGAGTCTCGAGAGCAATGAGATCCTGTTTCTGCCACGGCTGCCACGCCTGAATAGCATATTCCACGTGAGGTCGCACGTAGGCGTTAAGCATTTGGGGAAATATTGATGGTTCAAACAGACCGAAGGCTCTGCGAAGAAGGCCGAAGTGTTGATTTCCGGTTCTCGTCGCCTTCTCTGCTTGTTTGGAACACCCGAGATCTTCCTGTACCAATACACCCAGGTCCCGCTCATGAGAAACCTTTGCCAAGGTGTGGTCTCCAATCTTGTAGGCGCTGACCGGCTGGTGACGCAGATGCATCACTTTGCAC